GTTGTTATGTTCTGTCATGATGTGTTGTTATGTTCTGTCATGTGTTGTTATGTTCTGTCATGATGTGTTGTTATGTTCTGTCATGTGTTGTTATGTTCTGTCATGTGTTGTTATGTTCTGTCATGATGTGTTGTTATGTTCTGTCATGTGTTGTTATGTTCTGTCATGTGTTGTTATGTTCTGTCATGTGTTGTTATGTTCTGTCATGTGTTGTTATGTTCTGTCATGATGTGTTGTTATGTTCTGTCATGTGTTGTTATGTTCTGTCATGTGTTGTTATGTTCTGTCATGTGTTGTTATGTTCTGTCATGATGTTGTTATGTTCTGTCATGTGTTGTTATGTTCTGTCATGTGTTTATGTTATGTTCTGTCATGTGTTGTTATGTTCTGTCATGTGTTGTTATGTTCTGTCATGTGTTGTTATGTTCTGTGTTGTTATGTTCTGTCATGATGTTTGTTATGTTCTGTCATGTGTTGTTATGTTCTGTCATGTGTCTGTCATGATGTGTTGTTATGTTCTGTCATGTGTTGTTATGTTCTGTCATGTGTTGTTATGTTCTGTCATGTGTTTGTTATGTTCTGTCATGTGTTGTTATGTTCTGTCATGTGTTGTCATATGTGTCTGTCATGTGTTGTTATGTTCTGTCATGTGTGTCATGTTATGTTCTGTCATGTGTTGTTATGTTCTGTCATGTTCTGTCATGATGTGTGTTATGTTCTGTCATGTTCTGTCATGTGTTGTTATGTTCTGTCATGTGTTGTTATGTTCTGTCATGATGTGTGTTATGTTCTGTCATGTGTTGTTATGTTCTGTCATGTGTTGTTATGTTCTGTCATGTGTTGTTATGTTCTGTCATGTGTTGTTATGTTCTGTCATGTGTTGTTATGTTCTGTCATGTGTTGTTATGTTCTGTCATGAGTTGTTATGTTCTGTCATGTGTTGTTATCTTCTGTCATGTGTTGTTATGTTCTGTCATGTGTTGTTATGTTCTGTCATGTGTTGTTATGTTCTGTCATGTGTTGTTATGTTCTGTCATGTGTTGTTATGTTCTGTCATGTGTTGTTATGTTCTGTCATGTGTTGTTATGTTCTGTCATGTGTTGTTATGTTCTGTCATGTGTTGTTATGTTCTGTCATGTGTTGTTATGTTCTGTCATGTGTGTTGTCATGTTCTGTCATGTGTTTGTTATGTTCTGTCATGTGTTGTTATGTTCTGTCATGTGTTGTTATGTTCTGTCATGTGTTGTTATGTTCTGTCATGTGTGTTGTTATGTTCTGTCATGTGTTGTTATGTTCTGTCATGTGTGTCATGATGTTATGTTCTGTCATGTGTTGTTATGTTCTGTCATGTGTGTTGTTATGTTCTGTCATGTGTTGTTATGTTCTGTCATGTGTTTGTTATGTTCTGTCATGTTATTATGTTCTGTCATGATGTGTTGTTATGTTCTGTCATGTGTTGTTATGTTCTGTCATGATGTGTTGTTATGTTCTGTCCATGTGTTGTTATGTTCTGTCATGTGTTGTTATGTTCTGTCATGTGTTGTTATGTTCTGTCATGTGTTTGTTATGTTCTGTCAAGTGTTGTTATGTTCTGCCAAGTGTTGTTATGTTCTGTCAAGTGTTGTTATGTTCTGCCAAGTGTTGTTATGTTCTGTCATGTGTTGTTATGTTCTGTCATGTGTTGTTATGTTCTGTCATGTGTTGTTATGTTCTGTCATGTGTTGTTATGTTCTGTCATGTGTTGTTATGTTCTGTCATGTGTTGTTATGTTCTGTCATGAGTGTTGTTATGTTCTGCCAAGTGTTGTTATGTTCTGTCATGTGTTGTTATGTGTCATGTTTGTTATGTTCTGTCATGTGTTGTTATGTTCTGTCATGTGTTGTTATGTTCTGTCATGTGTTGTTATGTTCTGTCATGTGTTGTTATGTTCTGTCATGTGTTGTTATGTTCTGTCATGTGTTGTTATGTTCTGTCATGTGTTGTTATGTTCTGTCATGATGTGTTGTTATGTTCTGTCTGTCTGTCATGTGTTGTTATGTTCTGTCATGTGTTGTTATGTGTGTTGTTATGTTCTGTCATGATGTGTGTTATGTTCTGTCATGTGTTGTGTTCTGTTCTGTCATGTGTTGTTATGTTCTGTCATGTGTTGTTATGTTCTGTCATGTGTTATGTTCTGTTGTGTATGTTCTGTCATGTGTTATGTTCTGTCATGTGTTGTTATGTTCTGTCATGTGTTGTTATGTTCTGTCATGATGTGTTGTTATGTTCTGTCAAGTGTTGTTATGTTCTGCCAAGTGTTGTTATGTTCTGTCATGAGTTGTTATGTTCTGTCATGTGTTGTTATGTTCTGCCAAGTGTTGTTATGTTCTGCCAAGTGTTGTTATGTTCTGTCATGTGTTGTTATGTTCTGTCATGTGTTGTTATGTTCTGCCAAGTGTTGTTATGTTCTGTCATGTGTTGTTATGTTCTGCCAAGTGTTGTTATGTTCTGCCAAGTGTTGTTATGTTCTGCCAAGTGTTGTTATGTTCTGTCATGTGTTGTTATGTTCTGTCATGTGTTGTTATGTTCTGTCATGTGTTGTTATGTTCTGTCATGTGTTGTTATGTTCTGTCATGAGTTGTTATGTTCTGTCATGTGTTGTTATGTTCTGCCAAGTGTTGTTATGTTCTGTCATGTGTTGTTATGTTTTGTCATGTGTTGTTATGTTCTGTCATGTGTTGTTATGTTCTGTCATGAGTTGTTATGTTCTGTCATGTGTTGTTATGTTCTGCCATGTGTTGTTATGTTCTGCCAAGTGTTGTTATGTTCTGCCAAGTGTTGTTATGTTCTGCCAAGTGTTGTTATGTTCTGCCAAGTGTTGTTATGTTCTGCCAAGTGTTGTTATGTTCTGCCAAGTGTTGTTATGTTCTGCCAAGTGTTGTTATGTTCTGTCATCACGTGTTGTGATTCGCCAACAATATGCCTTGTCACTCAGTGCTTTTGTCTCTCACCTCTCACACCTACACAGTTGTCTCTCACCTCCACAGTTGTCTCTCACCTCTCACACCTACACAGTTGTCTCTCACCTCTCACACCTACACAGTTGTCTCTCACCTCTCACACCTACACAGTTGTCTCTCACCTCTCACAATTGTCTCTCACACACCGTTCTCTCACTACCCTCACTACAGCGGCCGCCCGGCCTATTCAGGCACTTCGACTTAATCCCCAACACATAAAATGAATCTCCCATTAAAGTCTGGAGGACAGTTCTTGCCCCCTGGAGACGGCGCTCATCTCTTAATTACTTCTGACCTAATTGAATATTCTGATAATCACTCTGATAATCACCTCAGACCTGAATGAATATTCGGGTATTCGCGGGATTAAAATGGAAATTGGTACAGTTTTAATGACAAAAGAATATTCCGCCCAGGAGGGTTTATATATTATTGTGGTCTCTACGTGTGGGGGAGTTTCGGAATTATTGAATACGAAATAAGTGTCTGGGGTCGGATTCATGAAAGCACTTACGAACCTGTACATCTTCTCTCAATTTTTGGCGGCTTTGTTTACAATTATTAAACAGTTAATGAGCTCCGAAGCACCAGGAGGCTGTTTATAACAATAACAACAGTTGATTGGCAAGTTTTCATGCTTGTAAACTGTTTAATAAATGTAGCCAAAGCCGTCAAAGATTGAGGAAAGATGCACACGTTCGTAAGTGCTTTCGTGAATCTGGCCCCTGGTGAATAATTGGTTAATAGTCGTCATTTTGTATAACGTGATTCACTATATCACTACAATGCTTACATTCAACTTTATTCAACAATTCGACAACAATTCCTTTATTCAACTACATTTCTTTTGTTCTACTACACTGCCTTGTTTCAGCTCCAGAGCATATACTCAACTGCAGTTTATATAATGAATAACAATTAATATTATCCTATACAATAGGTACAATCAACCGTAGATACATTCAACCACAAGTCTCCGTGGTGTAGTGGTAAGACACTCGCCTGGCGTTCCGCGAGCGCTATGTCATGGGTTCGTATCCTGGCCGGAGAGGATTTACTGGGCGAAAATCCTTAACTGTAGCCTCTGTTTAACGCAACAGTAAAATGTGTACTTGGATGAAAAAACGATTCTTCGCGGCGGGGATCGTATTCCAGGGACCTGCCCGAAACGCTACGCGTACTAGTGGCTGTACAAGAATGTAACAACTCTTGTATATATCTCAAAAAAAAAGTGGTATTTTCAACTAATGTAAGTAAACTAAACTACAATAGGTATAATCACCTGCAACAGGTACAGTCACTAACAAGGCACATACTGAAGTAGAATTAGTTTACTTAACACTGTATTCTACACAGTGTTAAGCTGGGGTTAGGTTGTACAAGTTTAATCTTTGTTATTATTAACATGTAGAGCAGTACTGTGCACCTGTCAGAACCTGGCAATACTGAGCGACAACTGTCTACCAGTTGTTATTCATAGAGCTATTACTCTAGAGAGCTCTCCTGCCATTGTGGGAACACTGGGGGTCTAGAGAGCTCTCCTGCCATTGTGGGAACACTGGGGGTCTAGAGAGCTCTCTTACCATTGTGGGAACACTGGGGGTCTAGAGAGCTCTCCTGCCATTGTGGGAACACTGGGGGTCTAGAGAGCTCTCTTACCATTGTGGGAACACTGGGGGTCTAGAGAGCTCTCCTGCCATTGTGGGAACACTGGGGGTCTAGAGAGCTCTCTTACCATTGTGGGAACACTGGGGGTCTAGAGAGCTCTCCTGCCATTGTGGGAACACTGGGGGTCTAGAGAGCTCTCCTGCCATTGTGGGAACACTGGGGGTCTAGAGAGCTCTCTTACCATTGTGGCAACACTGGGGGTCTAGAGAGCTCTCCTGCCATTGTGGGAACACTGGGGGTCTAGAGAGCTCTCCTGTCATTGTGGGAACACTGGGGCTCTAGAGAGCTCTCCTGCCATTGTGGCAACACTGGGGGTCTAGAGAGCTCTCTTACCATTGTGGGAACACTGGGGGTCTAGAGAGCTCTCCTGCCATTGTGGGAACACTGGGGGTCTAGAGAGCTCTCCTGTCATTGTGGCAACACTGGGGCTCTAGAGAGCTCTCCTGTCATTGTGGCAACACTGGGGGTCTAGAGAGCTCTCCTGCCATTGTGGGAACACTGGGGGTCTAGAGAGCTCTCCTGTCATTGTGGGAACACTGGGGCTCTAGAGAGCTCTCCTGCCATTGTGGCAACACTGGGGCTCTAGAGAGCTCTCCTGCCATTGTGGCAACACTTGGGGCTCTTGAGAGCTCTCCTGTCATTGTGGCAACACTGGGGCTCTAGAGAGCTCTCCTGCCATTGTGGCAACACTTGGGGCTCTTGAGAGCTCTCCTGTCATTGTGGCAACACTGGCGGCTCTAGAGAGCTCTCCTGTCATTGTGGCAACACTGGGGCTCTAGAGAGCTCTCCTGTCATTGTGGCAACACTGGGGCTCTAGAGAGCTCTCCTGTCATTGTGGCAACACTGGGGGTCTAGAGAGCTCTCCTGTCATTGTGGGAACACTGGGGCTCTTGAGAGCTCTCCTGCCATTGTGGGAACACTGGGGCTCTTGAGAGCTCTCCTGCCATTGTGGCAACACTTGGGGCTCTAGAGAGCTCTCCTGTCATTGTGGCAACACTGGCGGCTCTAGAGAGCTCTCCTGTCATTGTGGCAACACTGGCGGCTCTAGAGAGCTCTCCTGTCATTGTGGCAACACTGGCGGCTCTAGAGAGCTCTCCTGTCATTGTGGCAACACTGGCGGCTCTAGAGAGCTCTCTTGTCATTGTGGCAACACTGGCGGCTCTAGAGAGCTCTCCTGTCATTGTGGCAACACTGGCGGCTCTAGAGAGCTCTCCTGTCATTGTGGCAACACTGGCGGCTCTAGAGAGCTCTCCTGTCATTGTGGCAACACTGGGGCTCTAGAGGACGCCGGCTAAGGACTGCCATAAGTCACGTGCTGGTCACAACAATTCTACCAGAGCAGGTGTTTATAAATCACTTCTGAAGCAGCTGAGTTCATTTGAAAAATGATTGGAAAAGTCTTAACACTTTGTGTTCTCATCCGGGAGTGTCCAGCCTGCCTACGGTCTCCTGGGGACGCACTCTAATTTTCACTCATAACTTGGTCATAAGTACGTCTATGTTTTTACCTGTATGTTCGATATATTTTGTAATTAATGTAATTCCCTAGTCGGCTTTTAATGTATTTTCTATTTAATCTTCATCATTTGTTCGATCTATCATAGCATTTGGTATTGAAGCCTCATATCTTATTTGCCAATTCAACTCCTTTATCTGGTCTCTCCTCTTCTCCATTTCTTAAGTGCAAATTCCTTCCAAGGAAATGATTCTCACTGACTAGAGTAATTGTTAAGTAACAAAAAAGCATGCTTTAGGGAGAGTCACACTGCCCAGGATCTCATTTATCTTGACTCATAACCACGTTCTTGTTAGCATCACACTACCCAGCAAGCCCTTAGTATGACCCAAAAGTTTATCTAGAGTGCCTCATTCTGCCCAGCGTATCCTTATCTTGACTCACAAACTCTCTCAAGAAAACAAACCTTACGCTGCCAGTACACCCTTAGCTGTACCCAGATGGTGTCTTAGGGAGCTTCAAAACTGTTTGTACTCCTCCTCTCATTCTGATCCCTAAGCTTTCTTTTGGGGCCTTACACTGACTGATAATATCAGTCAGTGTAAGGGCCCCCTAAAGAATACCTAATAATATCCCCCCAAAGCTTTGTCTAGTGTGGGGGGGAAGGGCTTGAAACTGCCTTGCCTTCCTTCTAATGGGCTACACTGCCTACCACCCTCTCATCCTAGTCGCCAAACATTTTTAGAGTGTTGCACTTTCCGACACGTACCTCAAAAAGGTTTCCGGCACGTCTGCCTTCAGGAGGGGGGGGGGAACCCTTATCCACGTTCTTGTCAGTTTGTTTTCTAAAAATCACCACCTTACTTGTCGCTTCCAGATTGCCCTTGCCTCCCTGAAAGCTAAGAACTTTATTCGTGTCCTTCCTTCCGGCAAAGACAATTCGGTGGTTGTCCTTGACCGTGAGGACTACCTCCAGAAAAGTGATGTCTTGCTCTCTGATTCCCGCACATATGCTCCTCTGACTTCTAAACCTTTGGATCGCCTTAAAACTACCTTCAACTGCAAGCTGAGAGAGCTCTTTAGTCTTTGTCCTCCTGACTTCGATCTAATAAAACTTTTTCATGTCATCTGCCACTCTCTTACATATTTCTATGGTCTACCTAAGACTCATTAACCTGGTGTTCCTCTTCCTCCTATCATTTCTTCACGGGGCTCTGTCAGCTATCCTCTTGCCTCCTGGCAAGCTTAAACTCTGACGCCTTACCTTGGCACTTTATCTCCTGCCCACCTTCGTCACTCTCAGGACTTCATAGAAAGACTGCGCCTGCAGTCCTCCTGTAAGATGCTCAGTCTTTATGTCGACTCTGTTTACTAATGTTCCCCTTGATGACGATCTCTCTTTCCTTAGAAGGCGACTGAGGACCTTCTTCCTGTTCCGCTTCCTACTGGCGTTTTCCTCGAACTCGTCAGACTCTGTTGATGAGTTCCTCTAACTCGTTCTCTTTCAACGGTAAATACTTCTCTTAAACTTTCGGTATCGCTATGGTTTCTTCTCTCTCCCCTGTTCTTGCTATTCTTCGAAACTGTTCTTCCCACTATTGATACTCGTCCCTCTCTCTGGCTTCGCTATGTTGATGACATTTTGACTACGGCATCATGACCTTAGTTTTTTCCAGCCTTTCCTCTACTATCATAACAATCTGGCTCCTTCCATCCATTTCAAAGTTGAATGGGAATCCAATTCTCTCCTTCCTTTTCTTAACGTTCATGTTCACAGCTCTGTGTCCGGGTTCTCTTTCTCTGTCTACCGCACTCATGCATAGTGGTATGTACATTCACTTCTTTTCCTACCATCCTCCTGTTAAGAAAAGTGTCCTCGTCTCTCTCTTCCTCCGCGCCCTACGCATCAATGACCCTCAGTTTCTTGATTCTGAAATTTCCCTTATTTGCAAATCATTCTCTCGCCTTGGTTACCCTTTACTTTTTATCAACTGTTCCTGTTCTCAAGCAAAACGAAATTTATTTCATCTCAAACCTGTTTCCAGCAGTAGTACCACCGTGCTCTACCTTCCCTTCATATCTGAATTCAAAACTCTTAATAATACCTTTCGTCCTCTTGACATAAAGCTCGCCTTTCGACAAACTAACACTCTTCGTACCAATCTAGTTCACACTGCTCCTCCTGCTTCTAATGCAGCTGGTGTCTACTCTATTGCCTGTTCGTCATGTCCTCTTCAATACTTTGGTGAAACAATACACTTAATGACAGACTTAAGGAACACAAAAGAAGTGTTAAGTGTGCAGACATAAACAATTCTCTCTTCTGTTATGTTATGGATTCTTATCATCCTATTGATTGGTCTTCCACTAAAATAATCTTTCCTGCCTCTACTCTACACAGACGCCGTCTTGTCGAATCGGCTCTGATACACAACATACCGACATGAACCTGAGTCCTGGCTTTGTTGCTGTTGACTCTTCCCTTTCACAGTATATAATTAAATGTTCTAAACTTTCTAACAAACGTGACCTAACATAAGTCTACCCATCATTTTTATTTTTATTTCTGTTCCTATTCTTACATTCCCATTCTTATACTCATTACTACCCCCTTCTTACACCCCTTTATTACACCCATCCCACCCATACGTTTTGCCCTGATACACCCCACCCCCCCCCGCTAGGAATTTCTTCCTCCTCACCTCTCCACCTCTATCTTGCCCTACTTAATGCCCGTGTCTCCCTCGCTCCCATTCTGGACTAAAACTCTCATAAACAAAGAAGCAAGAGAGCAACTTCATGGTACAGTCTCTAAATACAAAAAATAACATGAAAATGGTACACCGCAAGGAGGCATTCTCAGCCCCTTCTCTTCAACTGTTTAATGGAAAGCATAATGAGGCTGAAACTCCAACAACACTGCAGGCTGCTAAACTACGCGGACGACTTTGTCATCATCATAAAAGGAAGGGATGCGGCGCGCCTTGCACCCAAATGTTTAGACTGCGTCAGTGAAGAGGCAAAGCAAGTTGGTATTAAACTCAACCCCACCGAGACAAAAGCCATGCCCATGAAAAGAGTGAGTCCAACAACCAACTCAAAGTACAGGGTCAACCAGTTGAATTGGTGGACACTTACCAGTGTCTAGGAATAATCCTGGGCACACACATAAGTTTTAATGCTGAGGTCACTTACTTAAGAAAGAGAACTGCGGCCCGGACGGCAATCCCCAGGTCGCTAACCTCCCTCTCTGGAGGAGCCAATCTGCAAGTCCTTCGCACATATTATGTACAGGTAATCAGATGACTGATCGACTATGCCGCACCTCCACTCACGAGCCTATCACAACAAAAATATAAAAAGCTTGAAGTAGCACAAAAGAATGCTATGAGAGCTGCCCTGGGAGCCCGTATGTGGACCAGTCTTGAAATTCTTAAGATTGGAAACGGGTTTGCCCTTTCTTCAAGAAAGAATATCTCAAAGAGCAGATATGATTGATAATTGATAATTGTTTTCCCTGGTCCAGTCCCAGTACGATAGGCCTTAGTGGTTGGACTTGAGCTGCCAGAATGGGAGAAGTCCTAAACAGTCTACAATTAAAAAGCATAATTCTTGACAGAGGAGGTGATCAACCACACCAGAACTTCAATTGTTCCCCACCGTAGGAGGAGCCTACCTTCAAAATAGTAATAGGTCTTCCGATGAAAAAGGCTGCCTATAATCCAACAATCCTAAGGCGCATCATAGAAAAAAGCAAATGTGCAGCATTGCAGTAGCAGGAGCCACCTACATCTTCACAGACGGATCGGTGGACACAGTATATGAGAGTCCAGGTGCTGCTCTTGGCACGGACAGCGAAGAGGCATATGCAGTAATCTGAATCATGCAGTAACAACCCTGAAGCCATCAACACAGCCACTCTTCAAGTCAAAAAAGGTATCCAGCAGCTGGACACCCTCATAAACACTGTCAAGCAGTATCCTCCCCCACGATAGCAGCCTTAAGATTTAAATGCGACCTCAGCACACAGTATGCATTCACTCAAAAAAAAATTCTACCACTTATAGAATATTCATTCCCCCGTGCCACCTCTTGAGTGGCTTAATCTTCATCAATCAATCAACCTCGTTCCCGTCATAATCGACTTGATAATGGTCCAGGACGGACAGAAACGTCTCCTCCTCATCTTTTGATGTGTGGTTTCATCTTCAAAAAGCTATCACTTACTGGGCGCCGTTAGAGGCATTCCCTGTGATGCCTCACACACTGACGCTGGTGAGGTGTCCAAGGGTCCTTAATATCCATTATTGCTGCCCTCAGTGTGGTGAGGGGACCACCGCTGCCCTCAGTGTGGTGAGGGGACCACCGCTGCCCTCAGTGTGGTGAGGGGACCACACCTGCCCTTAGTGTGGTGAGGGGACCACCGCTGCCCTCAGTGTGGTGAGGGGACCACCGCTGCCCTCAGTGTGGTGAGGGGACCACACCTGCCCTCAGTGTGGTGAGGGGACCACACCTGCCCTCAGTGTGGTGAGGGGACCACACCTGCCCTCAGTGTGGTGAGGGGACCACACCTGCCCTCAGTGTGGTGAGGGGACCACCGCTGCCCTCAGTGTGGTGAGGGGACCACAGCGGATGTATCCTGCTCATGTCCCAGTATACATGGTTTACCAGTCTCTTATGTGTGTGTATATAATACATCACAGGTGACCTATACAGGTTAGTGAGCTCCGCCTGAAATTTCATAGCACTTGCCTTCTTTTTGTCTAACTTATAGCTGTCATATTTGTTTCCCTAGAAGGTAAGGTAATTACCAGGAGAAAGTACTAAGCCGTTGCGACTATATATACCTTAATGTTAAGAAATAACCGAATTTGTTGCGTATTGTAGGCAGTTGCCCAACCGTCTTGCGAGGAGACGGAGCCCATGACAAGGGGTCCCATACTGCAGGCCCAACCGTCTCGCGAGGAGACGGAGCCCATGACAAGGGGTCCCATATTGCAGGCAGTTGCCCAACCGTCTCGCGAGGAGACAGAGCCCATGACAAGGGGTCCCATATTGCAGGCAGTTGCCCAACCGTCTAGCGAGGAGACGGAGCCCATGACAAGGGGTCCCATACTGCAGGCAGTTGCCCAACCGTCTTGCGAGGAGACGGAGCCCATGACAAGGGGTCCCATATTGCAGGCAGTTGCCCAACCGTCTAGCGAGGAGACGGAGCCCATGACAAGGGGTCCCATACTGCAGGCAGTTGCCCAACCGTCTAGCGAGGAGACGGAGCCCATGACAAGGGGTCCCATATTGCAGGCCCAACCGTCTAGCGAGGAGACGGAGCCCATGACAAGGGGTCCCATATTGCAGGAAGTTGCCCAACCGTCTAGCGAGGAGACAGAGCCCATGACAAGGGGTCCCATATTGCAGGCAATTGCCCAACCGTCTAGCAAGGAGACAGAGCCCATGACAAGGGGTCCCATATTGCAGGCCCAACCGTCTAGCAAGGAGACAGAGCCCATGACAAGGGGTCCCATATTGCAGGCCCAACCGTCTAGCGAGGAGACGGAGCCCATGACAAGGGGTCCCATATTGCAGGCCCAACCGTCTAGCAAGAAGACGGAGCCCATGACAAGGGGTCCCATATTGCAGGCTGTTGCCCAACCATCTAGCAAGGAGACGGAACCCATGACAAGGGGTCCCATATTGCAGGCCCAACCATCTAGCAAGAAGACGGAGCCCATGACAAGGGGTCCCATATTGCAGGCTGTTGCCCAACCATCTAGCAAGGAGACGGAACCCATGACAAGGGGTCCCATATTGCAGGCCCAACCATCTAGCAAGAAGACGGAGCCCATGACAAGGGGTCCCATATTGCAGGCTGTTGCCCAACCATCTAGCAAGGAGACGGAGCCCATGACAAGGGGTCCCATACTGCAGGCCCAACCGTCTAGCGAGGAGACGGAGCCCATGACAAGGGGTCCCATATTGCAGGAAGTTGCCCAACCGTCTAGCGAGGAGACAGAGCCCATGACAAGGGGTCCCATATTGCAGGCAGTTGCCCAACCGTCTAGCAAGGAGACGGAGCCCATGACAAGGGGTCCCATATTGCAGGCCCAACCGTCTAGCAAGGAGACAGAGCCCATGACAAGGGGTCCCATATTGCAGGCCCAACCGTCTAGCAAGGAGACGGAGCCCATGACAAGGGGTCCCATACTGCAGGCCCAACCGTCTAGCAAGAAGACGGACCCCATGACAAGGGGTCCCATATTGCAGGCAATTGCCCAACCGTCTAGCAAGGAGACGGAGCCCATGACAAGGGTCCCATATTGCAGGCCCAACCGTCTAGCAAGGAGACAGAGCCCATGACAAGGGGTCCCATATTGCAGGCCCAACCGTCTAGCGAGGAGACGGAGCCCATGACAAGGGGTCCCATATTGCAGGCACTGGACCAACCGTCTAGCAAGAAGACGGAGCCCATGACAAGGGGTCCCATATTGCAGGCTGTTGCCCAACCATCTAGCAAGGAGACGGAACCCATGACAAGGGGTCCCATATTGCAGGCCCAACCATCTAGCAAGAAGACGGAGCCCATGACAAGGGGTCCCATATTGCAGGCTGTTGCCCAACCATCTAGCAAGGAGACGGAACCCATGACAAGGGGTCCCATATTGCAGGCTGTTGCCCAACCATCTAGCAAGGAGACGGAACCCATGACAAGGGGTCCCATATTGCAGGCAGTTGCCCAACCGTCTAGCAAGGAGACGGAACCCATGACAAGGGGTCCCATATTACAGGCAGTTGCCCAACCGTCTAGCGAGGAGACGGAGCCCATGACAAGGGGTCCCATTCTGCAGGCAATTGTCGAACCGTCTAGCAAGGAGACGGAGCCCATGACAAGGGGTCCCATACTGCAGGCAATTGCCCAACCGTCTAGCAAGAAGACGGACCCCATGACAAGGGGTCTACATAATGCTCAAGCTGCTGCTTCTTTAATAATTCACAATGAGAATATGGTCTTGGACTGTCGCCTTCGTCACATTCCGCTCCTCTAATTGTTTCCTTAGTTTTCCTGTTGTCACTTAAATTTCAATCAGATTATCTTTTCGTGGTTTCTGTTGCGAAGTAAATGTAGATATATGAGCAGCTCTGGCTCCGGCTTGTAAACTTATTGGACTTTTTGGTTTATTTCTTCCCATATATTCTTATCATTCTGTGTGTTGTCTCACGTCCTTGTGTATAGCCTGGTTACTTCATCATGACCGGTACCTTCCACTCTCAGTGGGTCTGGCCAGTTATAACTGAAGTTAGTTCAGTTATATTTTCTGTTCTTGCCCTGAGATACATTCTTGCCCTGTTTTTGCCATCTGATACATTCTTGCCCTGTTCTTGCCATCTGATACATTCTTGCCCTGTTTCTTGCCATCTGATACATTCTTGCCCTGTTTCTTGCCATCTGATACATTCTTGCCCTGTTCTTGCCATCTGATACATTCTTGCCCTGTTCTTGCCATCTGATACATTCTTGCCCTGTTTCTTGCCATCTGATACATTCTTGCCCTGTTTCTTGCCATCTGATACATTCTTGCCCTGTTTCTTGCCATCTGATACATTCTTGCCCTGTTCTTGCATCTGATACATTCTTGCCCTGTTTCTTGCCATCTGATACATTCTTGCCCTGTTCTTGCCATCTGATACATTCTTGCCCTGTTCTTGCCATCTGATACATTCTTGCCCTGTTCTTGCCCTCAGATACATTCTTGCCCTGTTCTTGCCCTCAGATACATTCTTGCCCTGTTCTTTCCATCTGATACATTCTTGCCCTCAGATACATTCTTGCCCTGTTCTTGCCATCTGATACATTCTTGCCCTGTTCTTGCTCTCGGATTGTGATCAATCAGAGGATTTCTTTGGTTCTCCTGATTTAGTTCATTTAACACTGATCACTTTCAACCCATGCTGCCAGTCTCTGTTCCTCTTAACGTGTCCTCATACTCGAGGATTCTATTCATCACAACACATTGGATTCTATTCACTTCCTCTATTTTTTCAGAGTCTATTGTGAGTATATAGGTGAAGCACCAATCATTATTTTCTATGTTCTTAGTATTTCAGCGCCTGTTTCTCTCTTTTCCTGGGTATAGGAGGTCCGTCAATCACTTAGTCTTTAAATACCCACTTGGGGTGGACGGTAGAGCAACGGTCTCGCTTCTGCAAGTCGACGTTCAATCCCCCGACCATCCAAGTGGTTGGGCACCATTCCTTTCCCCCGTCCCATCCCAAATCCGTATCCTGACCCCTTCCCAGAGCAATATAGTCGTAATGGTTTGGTGCTTTCCCCTGATATATGCCTTCCCTTAGTCTTTAAATCCACTAAGGTTTGCGTTGTTTCGTATCACCAATTATGCTTCTGAGGTTCACACCGTACTGCTAATTCACATCACCTTATGTTAAAACATTTCAACAGTTGCTCACGATGAGTCACAATACCGTGGCTGAAGATATGATGATCAACCATACCAGAAGATGATGAGACGTCACCTCATCATCAGGTGTGTGGTTTACTCTTCATTTCAATAGTTATTAAGGTAATTATCTCCGCATGCCTCAGAGAATGTGGAGAATGAATGTGGAAAATTAAAATAATTCTTTTAATCTCTAACACCTCAGAAATGATTTTCTTTTTACAATAGTTCAACAAAGGTTTTCTTTCCGCAACTCTCTGAATAATTCCTTGCGTGTTAACCCAAGCTTTGTGTCATTGCAATAAGCTCCCGCGCCTCACCACTAACCTTTAACACATTCAAGGGGCAAATCATCCCACGTTGAAGCATCTCCGGCGCCTTTGATCGCTTTTTTCTTGGTTGCCGTGGAGGTAATATTGCTCTCCCACGCTCTCACTATTGCTCTCCCACGCTCTCACTTTTAAACACCACATTACTCTGTTTTTAGCGGGTTCCCTGGCATTCACTGCCTCTCGCGACTGCCGGCGGGATTTACCAAGTCCGTTTCTCGCAAACAAAAATCCGGGCTCCTATCTCCATGTTTATGTGGCTTTTGCGTGCGTGTCTGTAGTCACCTAATTGTGCTTCGGTGTCTTGAGCTTCAGCTCATTGATCCCGCCTCTCAACGATCGAGCAACTGTTGTACAGGTTCTTGACTCATTTGTGCTCTGTCATATCTGTTGTTGTTGTAGATTCACCTGCTGGGAACAAAAGTTCCAAGTAGCACGGGCTATGGTGAGCCCGTCGTGGGCTTCTGTCATATCTACGTTTGAAACTGTGTATGGAGTCTGTCAAGTTAGGTGGGGGTCGCCCCATCCGTGTGGCCTCCAACTCTTAACAAACAAACTATGTCATACTGAATAGACTACTAGGGGGATCAATCCTGCGTTGCCTGAGTCTGTGTCCCATCTATCCTTCCATCTGTTTATCTATACATTCATCTATACATCCATCTATTTATCCATCCATCAATCTATCCGTATATCTACCCTTCTATCTGAGGGTCAATCTGTTCATTAATCTATCAACCTTCCTATTTATATATACATCCATCTATTCATCCATCCATCGATTCATCCATCCATCTATTCACTCATCAATCTATCATTCATCTAGTTGTATTCACCTAATTGTGCTTGCGGGGGTTGAGATCTGCTCTTTCGGCCCGCCTCTCAACTGCCACTCAACTGTTACTAACTACTCCCCCCCCCCCCACACACACACAAGAAGCAGCCCGTAGCAGCTGTCTAACTCCCAGGTACCTATTTACTGCTAGGTAAGAGGGGCATCAGGGTGAAAGAAACGTTGTCCATTTGTTTCTGCCTGGTCCGGGAATCGAACCCGGGCCACAGAATTACGAATCCTGCGCGCTGTCCGCTCAGCTACCAGACCCCGGCTATCAGCCCATCTATCCGTTCATCTGTCCATCTCTGTCCACATAGCCACATATTTATACATCCAACTAGCTTACTATTCATCTAGATATATATCCATCTATCTATATATGCCCCCTATTCATATTTCTATCCGAATAACTGTCCATCAACCTATAAAACTATCCATCCATCTAACTATGCGTATTTTCGTCTATTCATCCATCTATATTACCATCTATCTACCCATTTAGTCAGCTATATATCTCATTCTTCCTATCCATCAATCTATATATACGTCTATCCACATTTCCATCAAGTTATCCATCTGCCCATCCATCCATCTATCCATGCTTCTACTTATCCATCTATCTATTCATTTATCCACCCATCTATGCATCTGTCCATCTATCCACATATCTATCCATCCATCGGTCAATCCATATATCTATCAGTCAATGTATCCATTTAGCTCTCTATATCCATCTGTGTCGGAAATTCCGACACTAACACTACTACCGGATAATCTACCTAAGTTAACCATGCAAAGAAATTAGCATGAGATCTTACCACGTCACCTACCAGGCCAGATTCACGAAAGCACTTACGCAAGCACTTACGAACGTGTACATCTTTCCTCAGTCTTTGACGGCTTTGGTTACGTTTATTAAATAGTTTACAAGCATGAAAACTTCCCAATCAACTGTTGTTATTGTTATAAACAGCCTCCTGGTGCTTCGGAGCTCATTAACTGTTTAATAATTGTAAACAAAGCCGCCAAAGATTGAGAAAAGATGTACAGGTTCGTTAATGCTTGCGTAAGTGCTTTCGTGAATCTGTCCCCAGATTTCTATTTATGTAAAACATTTACATTCAAAACACCAGCCTGGTAACTAAATAGAATAACAAAGTGTTTTCCATGACTAGATTTAACGATATTATAAAGAAAGCAAGCGCCTTCTCCCCTTTGACGGTAAATGGTGGAAGCTGAGCCGGGCGAGAGGCGAGTCTCCCGCCCGCAGAGGGAGAAGGGACGCCATTATTGGAGAACACCAAGCCTGGCCTGTGAGCGGGCTCCTACTGGCTCCAAGGAAACTTCCAGCGAATATTAGTGTTGAAGGACGCCAGAGTTTCTTGTCATCAACACGACACATACATAGCCTCGCTCCTGTCCCAGGTAAGTCCACTACGGGCTCACCATAGCCCGTGCTACTTGGAACTTTTGTTCTGAGTAGCTGAATCTAAAACAACAACATCAACACGACCTCGCTAGCCATACGGGAAGTGTTCTGTACCCAACTAGCCCGTATATCTATCCATTCATGGCCATTAAAGTAGATAGGGTCAACCGGTTACGGGCGTGCCAAGCCAACCGTAACGGGTGAGTTAAAAATAGATATAATTAATCTCTTGGTCTGATACAGATTATATATATTAGTTACAGTTTGTTACTAGGTGACTAATTCACAGGTGGAATTACCCCACGTGATGA